CCCTAAACCCCTAAACCCTGCACTCTAGGACACGGAGATTCATGGCTCTCAAATTTCGAGCTGCCTCTCTGGCAGGCTTTTGAGGTGTCTCTAAATCCGAAGATGGGGGCCGTTTTAAGTAGTGATTCGTATTTCCCTATAGCCCCAAAACAACGAAAGTGTGACCACCAAAGTACACCACAAACGCCTATTGCATCAAACAGCCACCCTGTAGACCTGAGACTCTACTGACAACCAAATTACGGACTCCCCTGATTTTTCAAGTAGGAGCGACACCAATGGACTCGAGGACTTTTGTACCTTATGCCCCAAAAACCTGAACACAACACGATGAAGCTGCAGACTCACCTCATATATGGATATCCGTTGGATTCCCTGTGGAACCCATGTCGAAACCTGATAGAAAACCCCCTAGAAACCCTCTGGAAGCCTTGTGGAACCTACCATAGCTGCCCGGTGAAAAACCCCAAAACCTCTTGTGACCGCGCCGCCTAAACCCTGAACCCTAAATCCTAAATCCTGAACCCTAAACCATAAACCCTAAACCCCTTGTGACCGCGCCGCCTGGGTGGCAATGAGGAGACCAGCTGCATTGGCTGCCTCTGATGCCACCTCCAATACCTGGCTATAGTTCAGTAACGGTAGTATAGTTTAGGGTTTAGGGTTTAGGGTATAGCTTGTAGTATAGTTTCGCATAGTACAACTTTGTATAGCATGGTTTAGAATAGTCTAGTTTAGTACTATCTTGCCAACTAGAAACTAGCATTGCTTAGTTTAGTATGGTGCCCAGCTGCTGCGTGCAGAACGTTTCTTAGGGCTGCAAGAGAAGATTTTCGGGATCTATGATTCTGCAAGGGTTCTGCAAAGGCTCCCCGGAGATTTCAAAAAGTTGAATAGACCTGAGGAATCGTTCCTGGCTGCTTAGATCTGAAATTTAGGGGTTTAGTGTTCTCGCGTTTAGGGCTTTGGGGGTTTCTGGGGTTAGGGTTTTGGGTTGAGACGCAGCGAAGACCCAAAACATAATTGAGTGAAACTTGTCCGGAGCCTGACGACCTGAACATCTTAATACGTAGAGCCTCCACCGCAGTGATGAAATCTCCGCCCCCACTAAACCCTACGGACCCTAAGCCCTATATAAGCCCCACAAACCCAACACCCGCAACCCTAAAGCCGTATAATCCCCAAACCCTGAAGCGCCCAGCCCTGACCTCTTCTAAACCCACCGGCATGCGTGGGTTTTCTCTCCTTGAAGGAAGGGGGGGGGGGGACTTAGAAAACCTCAAGCTGAATTATCTATCTAGTAGGTTCCTGCTTCTTAGGATGCTGAGGTATGGGAGCGGTAACATCAGAAGAGTGGTATAAGGTTTAATTTTCGAGCATGTGCAGCCGTGCTCAAAGAACACGCCCCATAACCAGCCCAATGCGTATAGTCTTGTTCTAGTTATAAAGCCCTATGCCTCATAGGCCCTCGCCTTCAACCCAAAGGAAATTGAGGGTTTAGGGTTTATAGGGCTTAGGGGTTTAGCTGACTTTCCAAATAATCCGGGGAAATAAACGGTTAAACTTTCAGAGTACTACTGAATTATAAGAACCCCAAAAAGTTTATAAAGGTTGGGAGGGGAACTAAGTATAAGTCCATGAATTTATCCACAGTGCCCTGAACCCAAAATCCCCCTGAACCCTAGTAACTGGAAGCCCGACTCCTCTCTGAGATCCCCCAGTGATGCCCCGCGGTGAAGCTCGTAGCGAAAACAGCCCTAGCGAGGCTTGGGTTTAAGGGTTAGCCAGAAGCCCAACTTCTTTGGAGTTACTGCTTCTGGGTTCTGTGTAACCTATTTAAATGCGTAAGCTGTTTTTACCCCTAAAAACCCTAAACCCTAAACCCTAAAAACTCTCAACCCTAAACCCTAAAAACTCTCAACCCTAAACCCTAAAAACTCTCAACCCTAAACCCTAAACCCTAAAAACCCCTAAACCCCACTGTTGTGGGGTCCGGCCCACAAGCCTGGCCTTCTGCACCTCGGCGCTGGCGCCAGGCCTCGCTGCCCACGAAGTGGCCCACCTGCACTTCTCGGCTTAGGACTTGGGGGTACTCGCAGCACCTTGCCTAAAGTGCGCCTTCGTATCTCAATCTCAAAACCCTAAACCCTAAACCCTAAACCCCTAAACCGTAAACCCTAAAACCCTAAACCCTAAACCCTAAACCCAAAACCCTAAACCCAAAACCCTCAAGATTCTGGATAGAGACCTCTGGAGCAGAGGTCCAAATTCAAACTCATTCCAGCATGGCGCAAAGTTTGAGGTGATATCCTTATCAGGGGCTATTATATATATATATATATGAGTATGTATGTAAATAAACAAGTAAATATATAAATATGAATATATATATATATATATACACATGTATGTATATATATATATATGAAGATATTGGTTTCAGAAGTATACACTTGCTTGGTTCCGAATACACATGATGTGCACATATGGGTTTTCCGTTGGTTTTGTACAAAGCCATAGTAATAGAGTTGATGATATAGATCCTGCATTACCCTTAATGGGGAATATGCCATACTTCCCATAGTATAGGGTCCTTAAGGTAATGCAGGATTTATATCGTCAGTAATTAGTAATGGGGTTTAGGGCGTTTAGGGTTCAGGCCCCGGGATCTGTTTCTGCAGCGCAGCTTGAGGCCTGGGGATAGGCCTGGGAGAGCTGCGCACCCTAAACCCTAAACCCGCAGCCCGCATGCAAGCTTTAAGGGTTTGGGGCTGTGGTCTGCAGGGAACGAGTTAGGGTGTGGGGTTGTGGGTTTCAGGGTTCAGGGTTATGGATTAGAAGGAAGACAAGCAGCCGGGGCTATGAATTTAGTACTGAGTATACTTAAGCCCAACCCTAAGCACCTCCCTAGAACCTAAAACTTGCACCCCTCATGCGAATCCCCGAACCCCTTACGCCTCTACAACCTAAATCAGGCCTCTGCTTCCCCTAAACCCTAAACCCCAAACCCTACACCCTAAATCCCTCATGAAGGCCTCTGCTTTGCATAAACCCTACACCCTAAATCCCTCATGAAGGCCTCTGCTTCCGTTGTCTTGCATGTCGCAAGCCGGCTGCTGCCGCTGTTCCGGTTGCGCCAAGATGCCAGGGGAGAGGCGAGGCAGTCCTGTCCAAAAGGATCTAATTCAAGTAGGGTTTAGGGTTCAGGGTTTAGGGTTTAGGGTCTAGGCTCTATAGGGTTTAGGGTTTATAAATGGGTAATAACCCCAAAGCAGGCATTGCGTGCGCTTTACGTTGGAGGCTTCGGGTTATGATGAGCTTTGGACGCGAAGGCAGAGGCTTGTAGATTTGGAATCCATGCCTCGCCTCCACGCGTCGCAGCCGAGTGCCCGATGCTGCCAGAATGCTGTGGCACCAGGAGCGCGCAGAGACGCCTTCGCACATAGAGGGTTTAGGGAGTCATGTTAAAGGACTAAGAGTTTCGGGTTTAGGGTGAAGGCTCTGGGCTCTGGGAAAATTCTATGAGGCTTCAGGTACATGGAAGTAGCTCCCGAAGGACCGTGTGTGTGTGTGTATGATGGGTTTCTCTGCTAAAACCCTCAACCCTAAATGGCCTAAGCCCTAAACCCTAAACACCCTAAAACCCTAAACCCTGAGCCAAAAACTCCCTATCAGGGCCAGGTCCCGAGTTAGGGTTTAGGCGTTAGGGCTACCCATCTCTTAGAACGTTTGGATTTAGGGTTAATCATCTCTTAGAGTTTAGTGTCTAGGGCTAATAATCTCTTAGGGTTTAGGGCTACTCATCCCTTAGGACTTGGGGTTTAGGGCTACTCATCTCTTAGGGTTTCAGGGTTTAGCCTGCAAAGCCTGGACGGGTCTTGAGGCTTGAGGCCTCTCGGAACATGGCTCAGGGTTTCTAGGGTAAGGTTACATAAGTGTTTAGCCTTTAGGGTTTAGGGGTTTAGGGTTTAGGGCTTGGGGTTTATCCAAACCCCCACCCAAAAAAAGCAAAAAAAAAAAGTAAAATCATGGCCCAAGACCCATCAACGGCTATTATTCTACATGCTTTGGGGGTCCGGGTTGTGGGGCTTGCGGTTTATTGTTGTGGCTCGACCGAGCACAAGACCTCCGGCCTCACTGCGGGTCAGCGTGGGTCGCTGCACGGCGTACATCGCGCTTTCGGCCGTTATTATCTATCTGCATATGGGCAGTTCTCTAAATTAGGGTCCCTTTTAGAGTCCTTTTTTTATGAGGGTGCCGTATTATATTGGGGACCTAAAACGGGACCCTAATTTAGAGAACTAGGGTTTAGGGTTTAGGGTTTAGGGTACTATACCGAAGCCCAAAGCCCGACTATCCTCTCCATCTTGCTGCGATTCAGAGCCATGTGTGGGTTTTCGGCAAACCTGAGGCCGTTGTCTGCTATGTAACACCGGTGCTACTGTTTGGGAGAATGTGCAGTCCATATTTGGGACCCTTCCTTTTTCTGAAACTCGCAAGAGCCTTCCGTACCATGGAACCTTCACCAAACGACAGGACGGACACGGTTTAGGGGTTTAGGGATTCGGGATTCATGCTCCGGGTTTAGGGGTTCAGGGGCTAGCGGCTAAGGGTTTTCGGGGGTCATGTCCCTCTAAGTGCACAGCCTCGCAAATGTAGCAACAACCGTGCATCAAGCGGAGCCCTAATTAAGACATGTCGTGTCGTTTCTCTTGAAAGCACAGGAAACAAGGCACAATGTAGGGGCCTTAATAATCAGAACAGGGTTTTGGGGCCCATTATGCTCTAATTATAATTGCCCTAAACCCTAAATCCCAAACCCTAAAGTCCCTAAACCCTAAACCCCCAAACCCTAAACTCTAAACCCCTAAACCCTAACCCTAACCCCTAAACCCCTTATTTGGGCCCCTACATTCACACCCCAGCCAGAAGTTGACCGCATCTCTCAGAACTCAGGCCATACACCCAAAACTCGAAACCAAGGGTTATTTTTATTGTTTTTTGCTGTTTGTCCAGTATTCATTTATTCTATTGTCCCAAAGAGTGAAGAGAACAATGGGCTGTGGGAGGTGAGGCGGTTCCCTAGTCCCGCCAGGTACCTACTATATAGGGTACTAGAGCCCCAAGGGCCTAGGACCCTATATAGTAGGTACCTGGAGGGTTAGGGGTTTCGTTAAAGGGTCCGAAGGACCCCCCAAAACCCTAAACTCTAAGCCCTAAACCCAAAACCCAAACCCTAAACCCTAAACCCTAAACCCTAAACCCACCAAACAAGACACCTGGGTTTGGGACCTGGTCTTCGGGCTTAGAGTATCGGACCACCGGCCAAGGGCTCTGCATTGCAAGCATCCTAGATGCAACGCGCCCTAAACCCTAAACCCGAAACCCTGCAACGCGCCCTGAACCCTCAACCCTGCAACGCGCCCTAAACCCTAAACCCGAAACCCTACGCTCTAAACCCTAAACCGCCGAAGCCCCCCCAAAATCCAACCAAAGCATTTTTTCGAAGGCTTGATTGGAGCTCTTTCGGCCAGGTCCCCCGCATAGCAACAACTTCAACCCTGAAACATCCCTAAACCCAGGCCGCCAAAGCCTCAAAGCCTTGAGCTCCATAACTTTACAACCCTCTTGAAGTAACTTTATTGTTGCCCTTGCATGTGTATATATCTGTATCTATCTATACATATATGTATATATATATATGATTATCTATATATATATATATATACAACTATACGAAGGGAGGGGGAAAGAGCGAGCGAGAGAGAGAGAGAGAGAGTGAGACAGAAAGAAACCACACAACAACATGCGCATAACCACGACTCCGAGCTTCTGCTCTCTCGCCTCGGGATCGGGGGTCTCAAAATCCCGAGGATCGACCACCAAGACCTCCATTTAAGGGTTTGGGGTTCAGGGCTTAGCATAGGGTGCTGTAGCATCATAGTATCATACACTTCTATCTTCCGGCAGATTGGCATCATATGATCATACACTTCCATCTTCCGGCAATTTGAAACTTAAGATCTAGGCTTCTTATTGTGTATGTGTGTTTTTTGGGCTTCGCTAGTTCGACCTGCTCTCCGGGTGGCCTGTCTTCCTTTCATGGTGGCGAGGTGTGCTTTGAAGGTCTTGGGGCTTTCTTCTGGTACCAGCGGTTTAGGGTTTAGGGTTTAGGGTTCTGATACCAGGCTTAGGGCGTCAATGGAGTACTCAATGTACCTTCAAGAACGGATATGACCCTAAACACTTGGTTACACGTACCTTTTTAAAGCTACCTTGGTTACTCTAGGTCTATTCAACAGGCTTAATGTAGGGGCCTTAATAATTACCTATACTATACCTTTTTTTTTTGTGCGGTGGTCCTTATTTTAGTTATAGTATAGTATACCCCAAAAGCCTGTTTTGCTTAGTAAGGCCCCTGTATTACTGTGCAGGAACGGTTTAGAAATTAGTGATTCGAGGCCTAACAGAAGATTTCTGCTACCTGGCCATGTAGGCTTTGGGTTAAGGGCTTAGGGTTTATGGGTAGAGGGTTTAAGGTTTACGGTTTAGGGGTTTAGGGTTTAGGGTTTAAGGTTTAGGGGCTTAGGGTTTAGGCTATGAACAAACTTGACGAAACTCTATCAAACATCCATTGCACTTGGATTCTTCGGTTTAGTGCTACAACATTGTATTGGCCTATACTGACTCAGCCTGTGCCCCCGGGTCCAGGGTTTCGTGTTCTGTGCACATGTGAGATTCTGAGATAATGTAGGCCCCTGTGGTAACAGTCATAAAAAAAACGAGCTAACAATAACACGACCAGGGTATTGAAGGCTGGCTGTACGCGATAACTGTATTATGAGGCCACCCACCCTAAAACCCATTTTTTTCAGGATGATGATGCCCTCCTAGCCAAGTGCGGCTGGTCCCTGTCCCAAAACTCTGAGGCCTAACGCAGCCGTTGCAGGGACATTCAAGCCCAGAACAGGAGATTGAACATTCATGATGTAGCAAGCATCTAGGCTCATTCCATGGCCTTTCTTAGAGGATCCGCTCACTTAGTGGGCAGGCTACCTCCGCGGATTGCAACTTGAAGTACCTGCTTAGAAGCTTGGAAGGCGAAGCAGGGCCTTGATCAATAGCAAATAACGACAACATCGGACTGACTGACACTGCCAGTTCATTACGTTTCTATTTGGGGCTTTCCGAAAATAGGGGACCCTAATATAGTACCCTAAATAATAGGATCCTTATTATAAGGACCCCAAAATAAGGTACCCCTTATATTCGGAAACCCCATTTTTAACACAGGCCGCTCATCACGCAGCATCACGGAAAATAGATGACTGGATGGTCTGGAGTCGGAAGATTCGCCCATGCAGTTCATGACGACGGAGTTTTCACGCCCGACGCAAGACCTCAACCACCACCCGAAGAATAGCTCTAAACCTGCTCTAGTCTAAACCATTTAGCCCTAAGTGCAGCACCCTCGACACTATAAACCGTGAATCCTCAACGCAAAACCTAAACCACCTGAGTAAGCTCTTATGCAAACCCCACGCCAAGTAGTACACCCTACAGCTCTGAACCCCGAAGCACTCCTTGTCGGGTCGGTTCGAACCGAACACTCTTCCAAACCCTCCCCCCCAGGCCCCCCCGAAAACCTCATGAGTCGGATCATGAGAAAGCTTGGCCGTCATGCTCAGGCTTTCCAGCGGGGTAGAAGTTGAGGGACTGAGGGTTTAGGGCTTGAGGTTCTTAAGAGGCTAGGGAGCTGAGTTGTTCAGGGATTTTAGGCTTTAGGAATTTGGGGGCTGTAGGGCTTTAAGGAGTCTAGGCTTTATTGCTTCTTGGTGCTGTGGACCGTGGACAAGGGAGAGGTGATTGGAATACTTGTGTCACTAGGGTTCAGGCCTTCGGGCGGCCTTAGGCCTGTTGCTTTATGTGACCGTGCTCTAAAACCGGCTTCGTGGTCGTTAAAGTTAGGTTTTTTTGGGGTAAAGAGCGTGGCATGTCCAACCGTAAGCCTCAAGTCATGAACAACTCCCATGCTCATGAACTCATGAGCGGCACCTATAGTCTCCATTGTAGTTCCTTTTTGTTCAAGAATTTTTGTGTTTAGGATCCTAGAAGGTAACCCCAAAAAGGNNACAATGGAGACTATAGGCTATAGGTAGACAGAAATCTCACCATCGGGACAAGCTTACCAAGGCAAGTCTGAGATTGAGGTTGGCATGGGCTCATGTGCCTCAGCTGCTATTCGGAGCCATGCGGCTGCGGATGGAGGTAGTTGTGCTCTGCTACTTTGAAGGTTATGACTTCCACGATTGTATACCCTAATTTGGACGTTTGGGTTCGGATGTTGTGCGAAAGTAAATAAAACTCAGACTCCTGAAAACCCTTATCTTTCCCTGAATAAAACCCAAACCTAAATAAAAGCCCCCTATGAAAC